TTAATCAGATAATCAAATCCTGGCATCTACAGCCCTCTTAACAATGGAGACATAAGTTCAGCCAGGCATATTAACCCCTTAATTAATAATCCTGACACTTAACTACTCTGCTGTTACCCATTAAGCTTCTACCGACATTGATGGAGTACCAGGGCATGTAGTATGTGGTACGTACAGTGGAACTGGGTAGTGCTGGTGGGCAGCAGATGTGCTTTCTGGGGTGCTCACCTCTTGCAGCAGTGTCCCTGAAAGTCAGTTGTGTTCTGTGGTGGTTCTTCAGGGTCTGTTGCCTGACTCACATAGGTACAAACTGCCCGACAGTGGTTACACCTGCACTGGCTCCTCAGTGCCCTTGCAGACAGCAGCAGAGTATGCTCCATCCCCATTTTATCAATGATCTGGATTCTCTGAGGGTGAAAGGAGGTGCTCTGCCACCCGGATAAAACCTCTGCAAGGGCAGTGGCAGAGGGCTGTGTGTTCCAAAGAGGTCACTGTGACAAGTGGAACCCTCTCGTCACCAGAGGGACACCAAAGAAATGAAATGGCCCATCCTCAAAATGTATGTCTTAAGCAGAAACACAACATACAAATTCCAGATGAACTGAAGCATGAGCAATGGGATCGCTCGTGGGGCGCATGACCCTAAATTGCTTTTGAATTTTCAGAAGCTCTGGAGTGCAATGTGGTACCCTGAATGTGACAAAAATCTGGTGTTTCATCTTGCAAATGATCCAAAACATAGCCCGCCACATTCTTGTGCATTCTTAGCAGATTGTACCGTGTTCTTCTTTGAAAGAAGTAAAACCAAGTTGAGCCAAAGCTTAGAATTCAGCTGGCTAGTACTCAGCTGAAAACCTTGGGTGCGAGTCAAAAGTAGAATAGGAACATTGTCATTTTGACTGAAGCATAGAAATATGCCAGAGGGCTGGAAGAGCCCTGCAGGAGTCTGCTCGGGAGCACTGAATCATAGAATCCTGGCATGGTTGGGGTTGGAAGGGACCTTAAAGCTCATCCAGTTCCAACCCCCTGCCACAGGCAGGAGCACCTTCCACTAGAGCAGCTTGCTCCAAGCTCAATCTCTCAGTAGTATCTCAGATCTGATAGCATCAAAAGCAGTAAAGTTGCTCATGAGTAAATTTTTACTTAACAGAGGAGGATGCTTTCAGTTAATATTTGGTATCATATGCTTGATAGAAGTGGGATTTAAGCAGCACTTAGACCCTGTGCAGTATCTTTTAGATAAGTCTTTTCCACTTCACATTCTCTGATAGGTATATATTTTTCCTTAAACTATTATGCCATTACTTTTCCAGACAAAGTACTGGAAGGTGAGGAGAGGTGGCTGGCAGGCAGAGCCATATCCCTGTCAGAGAGCAGGGAACATCAGTTCCTAATGCAGGACAAGGAAAACTCATTGCATGCTGGAATGAGGGTATGTTCCTCTGCTCTTAGGGGAATTAGCAGACGTGGCTTCCCAGAAGAACGTTGAATTGCAAATGCAAATTCCTACCAAAACTGCATTTTCATGCTGTATCTTTCATCTTCTGTAGAACTCTGTGTCTGACCCCTCTAAGAAACTGATGGTCTCTCTCATACACTAATAGCAGAGAAAGTCAAGGGAACAATAAAGGAAATCCTTCATTGTCGCTAAGAAAAACAGTCGAAACCCTGAAAGAGTCATTAGTGTCCCTGTTCTCTAGGGCTTAAAACCAGATTCTTGGCTCAGAAAAGTACATGAAAACAAGGAAAGTGTTTCCTCAGCCTGAATGCTCTCCCTCCATGTTAGGTAGGACCATAAATGTGTTGACCTGATCACTGTGCTGGCTTTGGGAATCATAGAATAGTTCGGGTTGGAAAGGACCTTAAGATCATCAAGTTCCAACCCCCCTACCATGGTCAGGGACACCTCGCTCTAAACCATATCACCCAAGGCCTCGTCCAACCTGGCCTTGAACACTGCCAGGGATGGAGCATTCACAGTCTCCCTGGGCAACCCATTCCAGTGCCTCACCACCCTAACCTTGGGCATAAAAATGAGATTCTGCTCCAGAAAACTCTTTAATCTCCCTTGTTTTTATGGCTCGGCAAAGGTGTCAGAAGTTTGACACTCCGGATAACTGAGCTCCTGCATTTAGAGTGCAGCCTCCGAAGAGTGGCAACCTTGCTTTGAAATAGTCTTTCTAAACTTTGGTTGACAATTAGCATTTCAAACGGTTGCAAGTATGTAGCTGCCATCTCCTAATACACAATTTGAATCAAATGCAAGGATTAATAGCACAGCACTAAAAGCAACCATAAAAACCACCTGCTTTGGAAGTGTTCTTGCTAGCTCTCGAATAGATGAAGGTCTTGAGCCATGTACCATTGGCCATCCTCAGTGTGGGGTGAGAGGAAGGAGACATTCACCTAGCTGTGCAGACCAGATCTCACTGCCTGGAACTGTTTTCTGCCCTAGGTGTTACAAGACACAGATTTATTTGCATGAGAAAAACATAAAGAAGTTTCCCACGACAAGGCAGTGTTGGTTACTTCTAGGTGTAGATGGTAAAACTGATGCTCTGTCTCGGAGAGAAATAGACTCCCTCCTGTGCATGTGTTGCAGGCACTTGCTGAATTAGCTCAGGAGGGAGCTCGTGGACAGGGCTATCAGCAAAACACATCACTTCTGCAACTGTGGGCCCACCAAAGGCAGGGACAATGTCTGCTTTGGTCATGTTGAAAAGAGCTGAGTCATTGCCATGGATTTTATCAGCCATCTCTGACACTCTCAAGGGGGTACTTAAGAGGCAATCTGAACAATGGGAATTCTCCATGTGCAGAGGAGAACAAGAGGCTAACATGGCCAACGAGATCCACTCAGTCCCACTTCCATGCTAGCCAGAGACTGAAGGGTTTCTCTTCAAGTGTGCTCACAAACTAATCAATAAAATAGAGACAGAAGTGGCACCCGGATGCTCCTGTGCCTGCGCATCACCGGGATGGGATCCTGCTCTCCAGGATTGCGTAATGCTAGGCAGGAATGCTGTTACGAGGGGCACTTCTTCCTTCCCCTTTAAATGAATGCAAACAACAGGGGTTTCTTTACAGCTCATTCTCTAATAACTCAGGTTAGTCATAATGAAATCTGTTCTTAGGGTGGAATTAATATGAGATAGTAATGGTGATGAGGTAATTAGCAGCTACCAGGAGTATTTAACCTTCCTGGTGACAGCGTGTCTGACATCACCTGAGCTCGTGCAGGCTCTGTGAAAAGAATTAACAATTTCAAATTACTCCATTTAAGTTATTAATTAGGAAATAGGAATGGGCTCAGGAAGAATGGCAGCAGTGCCCTGTGTCCTGGTGGGTTTTCCACCTCTGCATATCTTAAATCTATGTGTTTTCTGTTTTCCATTTCATTATTAAATTGAAATAGGATGGCACATATTGAAGGACATCTGCTCTGGTAACCATTGGCTACTCCCTTTTGTTATCCCACCTCCCGTGAACCATTGGGGTGACAAAATTCCCTTTCTACTCGTTCCACCTGGAAATTCAGTTCATAGTGAAATGTTACAGTGGCCAAATATTTTGATCATTTTTTTCTTAGTGCCAACCTTTTCCTTGGACCAGTGTTCATTCTCCCTGGTAATGTTTTTAACCTCTTCAACACATGTCACTGCAAGAGGTTATTGAGCTGCAGCGATACCGGAATTGATTTCTTTGCGCTGTAATGTACCGCCTCGTGGAGTGTACACCTCAACAGGATGCAGGAATGATGCAGCCATTCTCCTCTTGAGAAACACAACAAGGCAGAGCTCCCTCCCGCAGCACTGCTGATGGAGAGAGGAAAAGAAGTTGCACTTACTGAGAAGTTTCATAGTAACTTGTCAGAGATATGGAACTGTTGGAGCAAGTCCTGAGTAGGCCAGGAGGACAATGAGGGGCTGGAGCACCTCTCACATGAAGACAGGCTGAGAACATTGAGGCTGCTCAGCCTGGAGAAGAGAAGCTGAGTGGAGACCTCAGAGCAGCTTCCAGTGTCTGAAGGAGGCCTATGAGGATGCTGGAGAGGGACTCTTCATTAGGGACTGTAGTGATAGGACAAGGGGTGATGGGTTCAGACTGAAACAGGGGAGATTTAGGTTGGGTATAAAGAAGTTCTTCCCTGTGAGGGTGCTGAGGCGCTGGCACAGGGTGCCCAGAGAAGCTGTGGCTGCCCCATCCCTGGCAGTGTTCAAGGCCAGGTTGGACACAGGGGCTTGGAACAAGCTGCTCCAGTGGAAGGTGTTCCAAAGGAAGTTTGCAAACATTTGCTTCTGTAATGCATTTTTATGGCTTGGGAGTTTGCTTCCATAAATTTTCCATCTAGTCATTTCATGGGTTGTAAACATGCATGTGTGAGTGCATGAGTCTGCCTGTGCACACCCACCCATACCCACAGGGTTCTGTCTATCCCACCCAGGATGACCCACTCTCCTTAATGCACTTGTAGAGCTCTTCTCCAAGTTCCTCACACTGCGTTACGGTTTCTCTTCATTAGCAGCCAGTAATGTATTAATGCATTCCTCAGTGGGAAGTGTGCTCCTCACTATTACCTTGGACACTCATTTAGTTGAGTTTGATAGTGACAACACATTGACATTGGTAAGGTTAATGACCCAATACTTTATTTCATTGAACAAGTTGAACAACATTTAGTACATTGTTCCACAATGTCCTAGAGAGCTGTCAGTGCTATTACTTTTATGGTACTATGGCATTTTTGCCCTTTAAGTAATTGGCACCGTGAAAATATTCTCTAGATCTTGTCACAATTGATTAGTATTGCATTGAATTACAAAAAAATGACTTCTATTTTCCTTTTGCAATCCCTTTTTGTGGAAGGAAGGCAAAATTTGATCCTTATGGAAGAGAAAGGCTGACAGCCCTAAAAGCAGAGCGGGGAGACAAAGTCCTAACTGCTGCCTTGGCTTTCTGGATCTGTAGCCCCACAAAGCTCTGCCCCTCACCTATCCTGACCTGCTGTGCTCATCCCCTCTGGATTTCACAAGAGATTGTTCTAGCTCTGTGTTCTGGCCAAGGCAAGTAAGGCACGGCCATTCTCAGTGAGTTCTGCTTTTCCCTGTGCCCTGGCATGGCTGCAGGGCTGTTCATGGCTTAACCACATCCCACACTGCATCTGCAGGGGAGCAGCATTAATGGCACTTCTGGTGGAAGGCTGGTCCCTGCAGCAAACTCTGAAGCACACCAGCATCCCCCAGGCTCCTCTGTAAGATCATTTTTCACAAGATCTGATTGTGCTCATACTTTTAGAGGGAGGAGGAAACAAATATGGACTTAAATGGACTGGGTGATAGATTACAGTGTGGCTGATTCCTATTTACATCCACTGCTAGACATGGTGATGTGATCCCCTTGCACTGTATGTGCCAGGAGTCTTCATGGCTCAAAAACAGAGAATACTGCAACTTCCGAAGAGACTGGAGGATGAAAGGAAAGATGTGTAGGATGAATTCCCTGTTGACAGCCAGGTCTGAAATTACAGCTTCTAGAAAGTGAAGTGGCATTTGGTGGCAGTGGCCCAGAAGACAACCGGTGTTTTCAGCAAGGGACTTGAAGGTGCAAAGTAGAACATAATTTTTGTGTTTGTATCAACAACAACAACAAAAAAAGCCTTGACTTTGGATTCATGTTGTCCTTCTGTCACCTTCCCCTTGCTTTTAAATTACCCTTGATTGTACAACATCTGCTCCCTTCATGCGTGCATATGGCTGTCTCCTTAAATCTGCATTTCTGTGGAGGGGCTGCATACAAATACCCAGCTGAAAGTTTTCTTTCAAAGATCTGACTAACCAGCTTGCTCTGGAAAAGCAAACTTGGCATCAAGATAACTGTGAAAAGCTGACAGTGTGGGAAGGGGGTACCTGTGCAGAGGAATGGTAATGACAAGTGTCAGACAGGGACGCTGGTGACGATGGAAGATGAAGCAATCGAAGGATCAAAACTGGCAACGACCAAAGATGAAGCAATTGAAGGATCAAACCCTGCATCTTCAGAGGGGAGGTTGTGTTTCATTCTTGTATTCAAAACAGAAAATCCTCACAGATGTGAGTCCTGGAACATGAGAGGAATGTCAGGTTTTTAGGTATATGAGAAAAACTCCTACAATTGGCATTCTCGGAACGTCTCCTCACCAGACATTTGCTACCCAAAATAATTCCCAAAGATTTTCAACAGAGCTCTGGGTTGCAAGTGTATAGGATGGCAAGGTAAAGGGTTATCTGCTGTAGGCTCTACTTGGTAAAACGTTATCCCTCTTTTGGTTTTGAATCTTAAAAAATAACCATATAAAAGTACAGAACTGTCCTCTGATCATCTCTGTCTGCTTACAATATGTTATGTGGCTTGTTCTTCTGTTTTTAGGGGTATGTTAGCTGGCTTTTAGTTTTGTGGTAGAGGAAATACTTCCATATGTGTGTGGTAAAAGAAGGCTGAATTCCAAAGCCTTGGGCAACCTGGTCTAGTGGAAGATGTCCCTGCCCATGGCAGATGGTTGGGACTACATGATCTTAAGGTCCCTTCCATCCCAAACCATTCCATGATTCTGTGATTTGCAGTATGCCTGTAGGCTGCTTATTTAACTTCTCAGTGCCTTGACCTCTACTTGACAAGTAGCTCTGTTATCTCCTGTTCAAGTCCTTATTTTAAGCAGTCACTGTGGCATCTGACTGAGCTCTCTTCCTTCTTCTCTCCTGTGTGAGGTTGGAACTGGCCAAGGGAGCTTCCAGGGTCCCCTGGGAAGAGTACAGGCAATACCTCTGTGACTGAAGATGCTCAGCTGAGGATGGTCGTGTCCACACAGGCAGCACCACTGTAGGACAGTGACATCCAGCATCTCAAGGTGAGGCAGAAGCATTTCTCTAACACTGCAAGAGAAAGGTCTCATTCGCTGAACAAGTATATTTGGGTGTTTTCTGCTAACCTTCTCCTCTGCCTTCCCTCCCTGCTGCCCACCCCCTAACCCTTTTACCTCCCTTCCCCAGCTGAGCCTTTCTGGAATATACTCTATATTTGTCTCCTGCTTCCCTGAACACCCATTATTATGTAGAATAATAATGCAGGAGCTCTGCTCGGCACCTCTGCTCAGTGGCTCCAAGTGGGTTGAATTGTAGCCAGCGGCAGGGGGTGATAAATGTAGCGTAAGATGCCTTTTCCACAGCAAACTGCAAATTGCCTCAGCAGCACAGCCCACAAAAGGTTCCTGCAGAGCAAATTTATCTCCCATTGTCGACCCAAGGAGGAAAGTGGAGAGGACCAAGCATCCTATTTTTAAAAAGTCACATTTGATCTTGTTCAGACTCAGAGTCCAGAGTATTTTAAAGGACTTTTCATGGAAACTGCAGACTTGAGAATGCAGCACAGATAAAGGGATTTATTTTTAACTGCAGCCTGGGTTCATGACCATGTAAGCATTTCAATTTTAAGCCACTCAGTTTGAATATTCACCAAAGTGAATGTTATGTCACCTAATAACTCATGGGTGGGAGGAGGGATGGTGGCTGGTGAAGGGAAGAATAAGACTGTTAGAGAGAAATTGCCCTCTAAAGATTACCCTGCACTTCCTAAGCAAAGGAGAAGGGGAGGGTCGATACCAGGGGGGTTTATCTGCCCACTCCAGAGTTCACACTGTGCTTCCTCCCATATGGTTCAGTCCTCAGACAGCAGCATGATGGACAGTCCTGAGGAATGTGTGGTGATGGATATATAGTTGGAAACCCCCAGTGATGGATGACAGAGAAAGGGAGAGGGGGACGTTTGGTGATTGATCAATAGTGGCACAACCGCAGTATCCACAATTAATGGTGTGAGGTGTCTCTGATGTGTAACTCTAAATACCTTTGTATTTGATACTCACTTGCCATCTTCCTACTCTACTATCCTCTAAATGTCAGTTAATGAATTAAATACTGATAATTGGTATTAGTTTGCTGAGCTTGGCTGTGGCCAGGCAGGAGGAGCCCTCCTCGCCATTCCTGAGCATCCACTGCTGCAGAGCTGGACTTGGGATGCGGTCCGGATGGTCCTCCACTCATCCACACTGGGTGATGGGATTTATGAGTGTGTTTCCAGGAGTAAATGCCTGACTGCCTTTAATTGTATCCTTCATTAGCATCCTAGAGTTATTGTTTGTATTACAGTAATTGTTAGGATCCACCTCTGAGATCGAAGCTCTGGGCAAACAGAGAAGCAGAGCAGCTTGCGAGCATCCACAACTGGGTGACAAGGGTGGGAGGAGAAAACAAGGTGTTGGGAAGCAGGGAGAATGGCCTGGGCATAGCTGATGGGGGGAAGGAAGAAGCAGAACTACAACCCCAGTATCCACATGCTGCTCTGTGCCTCCCTTGTGTGCTAAATCCCATGGAAATGCATTTTGCTTGTGTTCACTTGCCTTCAAAATCAGGTTAACGGCTTCAAAATCTGGTATCTGCTTGCTGTGTGCTCTTCCAAAGCACATTAGTAAGTGCAAAAGAATTATTCTGGAATGAGGAGTGTGTAAATGGAAGTAGATTAGCTCTCTTTGCCTCAGTGTTCCTATTTGTGATATATTGCTAAGTAAATACTTTAATGCTGGTGTGAAGTCAGGCTTAATTTATTAATGTCATGCCTAATTAACCTGTCAAGATCCTTCCTCAGAAAGAGGATTATTGGGAACAATAATGTTACTATGCCGCTGGTGTTGATTTTAGGTGAACTCACATGAAGAGGTGATCAGAACCTGGGAGTCAAGAAGCGATGAACAGCACCAAGGGCAGCCTGACGTGTGTCCGGGTCCTAACAGCAGATTCCACCCAAGCAAGGAGTCTCGTGCTCTGTCCTGCAGGCACATGGACAAAGGAATTGGTAAGAAAACATCTAAACCAGCTTGCATTATATATATATTCATTTTCCTTTAGCTTAGTTGAAAACAGATCAGCCTATTTGCAATTCCAAGTTGAATTTCAGGGACTAGAATCTATTTTTGCAGTGTTAACATAATGAAAACTAAATGCAAGGTTGCGGGTATTTTACGAATGGCCTTTAAAATTCAGGTTTATTTATACACTGTTTCCAAAGGACAGAAAAATATTCTCCCTTTGTCTTCATCTAAGATATCTTCACATCTTTTCCCATGCAAATAATTCATGTCACTGAGAAGAAAGTTGTCTGTGAATCACTGATGAGTCTTTGATGCTTAACGTGCTGTCCAGCTTATGCATAGAGCTCTCTTGGAATGGAGTTTAACAAGAGAATCTGATTTTCTTCCTCACATCTTTAAAGTTTCCCATTCAGATTTCTCTTTAACAAGCAAATGAATGTTCCAGCATCATTATGGTTTCTGTTGTAAAAATGGCAGCTTCCTCCATCCTGTGTTTTCACACAACAAGGAGCCCAGCAGCTGAGCCATGCTGTGATTGCTTCCAATATGGCCTGTAGCATGGTTTGAAACAGGAGTCTGGCAGGACTCTCAGGGAGGCAACTTCCCCGTGCTCAGGGAAAACATGGCAAAACCATTTGTTTAGGAGCAGGGTTCCTTTCTGAAGGGTTTTCTATAGGAAGTTGTTGAGTCAGCTTTTATGTGCATTTGTTCAACGTTTCACTGTGAAATCTTAGTGCACGGAGGTGTTCTTATAGAGACAAGCTGAGAGAGTGGTCTTCTTCTGCCTGGAGAAGAGAAGGCTCCTGAAGGGGAGACCTTAGAGCAGCTCCAGTGCCTAAAGGGGCTGCAGGAAACCTGGAGAGGGGCTTGGGACAAGGGCCTGTAGGGACAGGGCAAGGGGAATGGCTTGAACCTGCCCGAGGGGAGACTGAGCTGAGCTCTTAGGCAGAAGCTCTTCCCTGTGAGGGTGCTGAGGCGCTGGCACAGGGTGCCCAGAGAAGCTGTGGCTGCCCCATCCCTGGCAGTGCTCAAGGCCAGGTTGGACACAGGGGCTTGGAGCAAGCTGCTCCAGTGGAAGGGGTCCCTGCCTGTGGCAGGGGCTGGAGATGGGTGAACTTTAGGGTATCTTCTAACCCAAACAAGTCTGGAGTTGTGTGATTCTCTTAGAAGCAGCCTAGAGCCACTGCTGCCCAGTGCTCGCTAAGGCTTCAAACCTGGCTCTTGCTGTGTGTTTGCAGAATGATTAAAATCATGCTCCAATACAAATAATAATAAAATACACAATGCATCTCAAAGTGCCTGGGAGAGAATGAATAATTAGCCATAGAATAGAATATATAAACAGAAACTGCCTTAAAACCAGATGAAAATATGTCGGGAACAAGCTATTGTTACATTTTCCAACCCCATCTGAATATATCTGGGGATGCTTAAACTCAACTCTGGAGGAAAAAACCTCTTCTAATTTCTCCTTTATTAGTATGCTACTGTAGCAGTTTTGAGAAATTAAAAATAATTGATACATTTGAGAAGGCACAAGCAGTAACTATTTCATATTTTTAAAAGCTTTGCAAAATATCTAGGAAAAAGTGCTGTGCATGCATAATGCCAGAGCTAAAATCTGCTCAGAGTGATGCAGTCAAGCCCTCTTTTATGGGAATAACCATACATGTGGTGTAGATGGAGGGTTTCTGCTGTAGCTGGGAAGAACCTGAGTGATCCCTGGGTTTAAGTACTTGAGCTCTTTTAGCTGGGCTGGGAAAGGTTTTACCTTCAATCAGCAAAGGTGATGGAGAGCTCCTGGTGTAGCACCCATTCTGCTGAATACATCCATGCTGCTGGCCTAACACACCCCCGTTCTGTAACAACAAATGCCTTAATTACAAGTGATTTGGTCAAAGCCTTGCTAGCTCTGTGTGCATTAAATGGAACAGATTAAACCTGAGACGAGGCATTGTTGGGGGATTCTCTGGCATTGGTTTTGTACCACGTTTTTTGATGCATATCTAACACATCAGTGCTCTCAGCTGTTTACAGTATCTGCATTAGGAGCAATCACACAGAGTGGACCTCCAAAGGAGGCTGGTTTTGTTAGGTAAAAGGGAATGAAGCACAGAAAATAGTATTAAAGATGAACAAACGCTTCCATTATTTCAGCAAATTAAATGCACTTCTCCAAGTGAAGAAGGCAAAAGTCAGTCATTATCTGTCTGTGATACAGCGCAGCAGATAATAAAGAGGGGTTTATGATCTCTGAAAGCAAATTAGAGGATATTTAAACAACACGTCTTTCTATGAAGCAGTGATAATTACAAAATCAGGTCAAAATACAGAACAATCTAACCCTGCCCCAAGCTAATGTTACTTGAATAAGCTGAAATCTCCTGTATTCTCTTGCAGAAGAAGGATTCATTTGGGATGCAGCTGTTCTCATTATTGTTTATCATCTGGACTCATAAACCCTTGTTAGTGTGTGTTGATACTTGTCACATCCAAAGCTCAGCATTGCTTTCTGCCTTGCTGATCAGCTGAGCAGGCACAAGACACAGCTTCTCCCCGCTGCCACCTTCACCCCCTGCACCATTTTGGGGTAGGAAACTATGATTCTGTGAGTCTGTGAAACTGGTCTTCCTCTGGCTTATGTGGCTACACAGTTCCCACTACCAGTATCTATGTGGTCCTGAGGTTTAGGAGTCAAACGCTTACTCAAATCGGGAGATGAATTAGTGTGATCTTCAGTGAGCTTTGCATCCAACTCTTTGGTGCACTGGTGTGTCCATGTTGCTTTCTTTTTCTTATTAGGCATTTCCAATAGTACCTTTCCTTTAACACACAGTTTAGACTGGGCTTTGAAAAGAGTGTTTTGATAACCTGCTCTAACTCCTAGGACTCTAGGACTGATCACCTCAGGAGCTGCTGAGGATGTTGTCCAGCCTGGACCCAAACCTGCTGCTGCTGAAGCCAGTGGGATTTTTAACCCAGTGCTGGTAAGAATGTCAACACAGTGCACATTCCATGCTCATGAGTGACAGAAACTGCATGGTTTTGACAGACAGAGAAATTAGGTTCTAAATCCTTTAGCTATCTTTTGCAAAGTTACCCATAGTCCATCTTGTAGTGATTTTAATGACTTCTCTGGGATGGGGACAGCTGCCAGCCTAGCAGGGGCACCATGTGTTGATGGTCACGTTGAACGTTGCAGGAAACGTGTGTAATGATCAGCCCTGAAACCAGGACACCTTGTTAATAGAAGCCATAATATCAGACTAAAACAAGTGTTTTGGATTCAGGCCACCTCTTTGCTATCTCCCTGGCATATGAACTCTGAATTATCAAGCATTCAGCAAAATGCTCTGTTTCCTGCTGGTTTAGCCCTGAACAGAATTTTGCTGATAAAACCAGAGGATGAGCTGATTCCCCAGACCTTCCCCTTGTCTAATCCTCTGTGACCCACAGGATGAAAATTGAACTGATTAAAGCACTAGAAAACATACTGTGGGAATCCTGTCGGCGTTCACCCCTAAGGGAAGACTAGAATGGCCTAAAAGGTCTTTTCCCTGCTCTAATTTGGGTGATCTTTATGATTCACTGTGCTCTGCTGGGGGAATACAAAGGAAGAGGCAGAGCACCTGGACAAATTGTTGCTGGCCCTGGATACTAATAGAAAGAAAGATGTCAGAGTAGATGACAATGAGGTCGCGCGTGCCAAAGGAGGGCAGCTGATGAGATCACAGCACAGCCACCAGCTCTGCCTGGCCTCTCATTAGCAGCCAGAGAAGAGCCCGGCTGATGGGAGAGGCCAGGGGTGGCATCAGCAAACACATACACTGGCAGAGGAGAAAATCTCCCTCTTCCTCCCCAGGGAGCTGCTGTGCTGCTTTTCCTTCTTGCTGTGAAATGGGGAAATTGCCAACACTCTCTCAGTCCAGGTTAGTTTGTTGTGTCCCTTCCCAGAGAGTTCTCTCAGACAACTGTAAGGACTGGGTATTAGGAACAATTCCTGCCCCAAAGGGTGCTCAGGCATTGGAGCAGGCTGCCCAGGCAGTGCTGGAGTCACCGTCCCAGGAGGTGTTCACACACTGGGTAGAAGAGGCCCTCGGTGCCATGGGTTAGTGGTGGCCTTGGCAGGGCTGGGCAACGGTTGGACTTGATCATCTTAAAGGTCTTTTCCAACCTGGTTAAATCTGTGATCCCCCCAAAAATACCTGTCCTGGGGAATGATGGGCGTCCTTTCTGCCCCAGAGGCACCTTGGGCTGTGCCTCCCTTGGAAGAATCCTTCAGCAGCAAATGCAGTTTAATGAGCTGAACAAGATGAAGCACACTCCTCCTCGTGGGTGAGATATTAATGTAGCAGTATCCTTGGAGGAGCTACAGAGCAGTTTCTAAACAAGCAACCTTTCTGCTCAGCTTTGCTCCAGGCATCTCGGGCTATGTCTGCAAACATTAAATTTCAGCCCTCTGCTGTCTGACAGTTTGGGACTGGAAACCGGTCCCGAGCAGACTCAGCAGCAGATCAGATGGGTGATAACTGTGTAATTTATGGAAGCCTTTGCCTGTGTTACAGAGAAAATAATTGCAGCAGCAGGCATAAAATAATGAGCTGTGGTTGTGCTGCATATTGTTTTCTCTTACTTTCGTGGCACCTGACATCCAGTGCGTGTGCTGGACAGCACAACATTATGGAGAGAGTCGTTCCTATAGAGTGGATGTGAGACATTCCGATTAGGGTTGAGCTCAGCTCGGAATTGGGAAGTGTAATCCTCCGGCACATCACACTGACAGAGCAATTCCAAGGAAGCAGGGATTTAACTGATGTGCTGCCTGGCCAAGCTGGTCCTGAAACCAGACAGAAGCCCAGAAGTTCAGAGGGTTTGCTGAGATTCGGAATTTTTCCTAGGACAGGCAGTGGCTGGAGGCCTGAAGCTGCATTGGGAGCACATTACTCGGGTCTTAGAGTCACTCAGGATCATCTAAAGAACAGCATTAACCATGGGAGTGTGAAGGCTGCACCCATGGTGCATGCTGTAGTAGTGCCAAGCAAATACAAATGCTGTCAGCAACACAGGAAATGAATCCTTCCTTAGGACAAGGGGGTTTCCCTGCGGAGTTTTCTGCTGTCCTTTTATCAGCTCTAGCCAGCTTGAGGAATGCAGCAAGAAACTGTATCTGCCTGGAAAATTCCTAAATACCTTGGTAGCTTTTAACTGAATGGCTTCTTTTCTAGGTCACAGCACAGGTACCATTTTCTCCATCCAACAGTGTCATTTATTGTGATTAATTTTGTAGGTCTCATCAGGGTACTTATTTCATAGAACCCCAGACTGGTTTGGGTCGAAGGGACCTGAAAGCTCCTCCAGTTCCAACCCCTGCCATGGCCAGGGACCCCTTCCACTAGAGCAGCTTGCTCCTCTAAGCCCTTTCCAACCTGGCCTTGAACACTGCCAGGGATGGGGCAGCCACAGCTTCTCTGGGCAGTGTCCCAGACTCTACAGCCTGAGGCCTGGTCATGTACTGCTAAAAGAGCAGCTTCAGTTTTGGAGGTATCAAGGCAGGGCCACACACCAACCCCTGGCAGAGCTCGATCCCCAGCAGTCCATCCCTGAGATGAAAAAGAGCATCCAAAGTCACAGGGCTGTGCTACAACCTCCTGTTTCCTTCCATGTCTCTCCAGTTAATTAGTTATGCTCTTCTTCTACTTAATTAGCTCAAAGAAAAACAGCTCTTTGTACTTAGCCTTATAAATGACAGTCTTTTTCTGCCTGATATGTTATAAGGGGTGACACTTTCAGCATTTTCTTAGCAGGGTCGCATTTACAATTCCTAAAGGTTTGGAAGGAGCCTCACTTAGCCATGCTGTGGAGCACGGATGCTCGGAGAGGCGGTTCAAAGGTACCATGATTTCCTTTAAAAAATTATCAGAGGAACTGGGAGAAAAAACTTGTGAGGATCAAAGCAAATGAACTCCATTAAAAAAGACTAAGTAATGACAAAAAGTTACTGAAATAGCAAAGCTGCATGAAAGTGGCAAAAAGAGCTTCAGATGTTCATAAGGTACCACCTGTAAAACACGGGTGACTGTTCAATCAGGAGGGTGACAGTAGGTTGCTGCAGTCAGTTGCAAGGTTGCAAGAACATTGGAAAAGCTCAGACTTATCTATTTAAAATCAAAATGGTTCCTGGCCTTTATCACCATGCTGGGCCTATGCAAGTCATAAGATCTATGTGTGGAATCTCCTCAGCATGGGGATGCACAACTCACCCAAAGGAAGGTACAAACAGCAGCCCCATGTCAGCCAGTGCATGATGCATCGCCCCATTTAACAGATTAAAAGGCTGATGGCACCCATGACATGAGCTGCACTGGAACCAGAGCCTGGTGAGCTAAAACCTGCATGCCCAGCAAGAGGGGATGGGGGCACCGGGGGTGCTGGAACATCTCCTTGGGAGAGTTTTTGAGAGAAAAAAGCAATTAATTCACAGTGACTGCAAGAATAAATACACAGAGAAAGGAATTCGATGATTTTGGACAGAATACAACAATACATTACCAGTATTAGTATTTGGAGGAGGAGATGTCAGGAAGAGATCAATTGCGCTGAAGACAAGAGTTTTAATGCCAGATTTACACCAGGGTAAGGCAGACTAAAACCAGCCCTGTGAGTGCATTACTGACTCAGTAGTTATACATCTGCTTCCGGCAGAGAAGCTGTGTGAACTGGGATCTGCTGGGGCTGTTCCCTCCCCATGCAATACATCTCTGCTGCATGCAGAGCTGGGCCATGCTTGCACTGTTTATACATCTATCTTTCCACTCCAAATAGACCTGGCCCTGTGCATACACAAGACATATACTCTGAAAATACTCCGTTAACAATGTGTCATTGAGGCAGGGAGAGGATAAACACCAACACAGCTCTTGGCAAACTTGACATCAAAGTTCACGGGTGGTTTTTTTCCACCACTCCAGCCAGAAGTGATGTTAAGCAAGAGAGCTCCTGGAGCTGTGCTTATTGTTACAGAAAAGAGTTCATGTGCTTTGTGATCTGTTTGGAACTTTTGAGCTCTTTCCAGGACTGGACGTTGATTTCCTCAATGGCATTCAGAGTGCATTTCTCAAGTGCACCTTATCACAGAATCACAGACTGGTCTGGGATGGAAGGGACCTTAAAGCTCCTCCAGCTCCAACCCCTTCCACTAGAGCAGCTTGCTCCAAGCCCCTGTGTCCAACCTGGCCTTGAGCACTGCCAGGGATGGGGCAGCCACAGCTTCTCTGGGCACCCTGTGCCAGCGCCTCAGCACCCTCACAGGGAAGAGCTTCTGCCTAAGAGCTCAGCTCAGTCTCCCCTCGGGCAGGTTCAAGCCATTCCCCTTGCGCTGTCCTCTCCCTTGTCCCAAGCCCCTCTCCAGGTTTCCTGCAGCCCCTTTAGGCACTGGAGCTGCTCTAAGGTCTCCCGTTAAGGAGCCTTCTCTTCTCCAGGCTGCCCCAGCCCAGCTCTCTCAGCCTGGCTCCAGAGCAGAGGGGCTCCAGCCCTTGGAGCATCTTCATGGCTGCCTCTGGAGTTGCTTGAGCAGGTCCATGTCCTTCTTGTTTTGGGTGCTCCAGAATATCCTTTTACAAGGTTATCATGTAATATGAAGCTGGGGCTTGTGCTTTCAGTCCTCAGACCCAAGTCACAGAGCTCCTGGGGATGGAGTTGAGAGCAGAGCCATACATCAGGCTCTGTCCAGTGCTTCACCTCCCACTGGTGTTAACTGAAAAGGGTAAGAATCTGCCCAAGAGGGAGATAGCAGAGTTCTGATGTGTCTTACTGATTTATCTACACAACACTAGGGTAAGAATACAGAAAGAGAGTTTAGATAATACAGAGATAGACATTTTCGTACTGACTTAGGGTCACAGGAATTCTGTAATCAGATCTCTAACTCATCCACCTCACTTAGATTTTGCAGCACTGGATAATATACGACACATCAGTCAGAAACCTCAGTGGCAAGCAGGACAGTGTTTTGAAAGCTGTGTCCTTGCAATATTGTCCCCATCAGAAAAGTACATTTATCTCTCTCTGGGCTCTGTGCTGCGTCCCCAATCGTTAGGAGAAGGAAAAAAGCACAGCCAGATTGAGCAACGCTGAAGTTTGCCGTGAAAAATTCACCGAGCAGCCCATCTCACCTTGATGTCTTCTGCAGGTGCAGCTACATAAATCTAAGCACCCGTGGTTAGTGCTGAGCTGCAGGACCAACATCTAGTGAGAGATGAACTCAGAGAGAGGAGGAAAAACAATTCCAAAGCAGTCAAGATCTTAATCCGAGCCGTGAAAAGATGGAAGAAGTTTCCAAACAGCCACATAGCTGCAAAGTGTTAGTAGCGAGCATGGATCTGATTTTACTTGTGGGAAAGCCTGCAGCCAACTGCTGGAACACAGGCATTAAGCATAGAATCAACCAAGTTGGAAAAGACCTTTAAGCTCATGAAATCCAACCATTATGATAGAGTAAGGGCTCTGTGGTTTACACATGGCCTGCTCATCCAACCCTTCCCAGCTTTCAGCACTCAGCTCCAGCCAAATTCTTAGTTTATGGAAAGAAAATGTTGGAAAACCCCCTAATTTTCCTGAAAGGGTGTCTGAAAGTTTAATTAAAGAAGCCCAAATTTCCCTTGCCCATCTTGGATGGAGAACCCGATTGGGCATTGATCCATGGCAGGGATTTCATCATTATTTGGCAGCAGTTCCATGCATGGTTTGTAGGTTGTATCCTGTCCCTTAATTGTTTTGCAGGTTCTGCCACAGACATGGCTTTGACCTCCAGCTCTCACCCCAGGACACACCATCTGCTGAGGGGTTTGAGGTGCTTCTCCCAGCCAGGATGAAGCAGCCTGTCCCAGTGCTTGGAGCAGGGCAGGGCTCGCCCTCAGGGACACAGACTTTGTACAGGTCCTTTTAACACCAAAACTCTGGAATTAGGTAAAAAATCTCACCCTGGGATTTTTGGATATGAGCCTAAACCCCAAACCCCACATGGTTGCATTGTGCCTAATTACAGCCTGTCTAAAATGTTAATAGGTCCCAGCAATGCAATATTCATACTAGAGTATTATTATATTGCACCTACTTTGCAGTTAATGTAGTTGGGCAAAAAGGCTCAATAATAGGAAACCAGCCTGCTGTTGGGTTGAGTTTTCTTGGCTTATTGATTGAGTTTTTAAGTTTAATGTGAGGAGACTGTTCTATAGTACAAAGTGTATTTTAAGCATCTATTTATTAAAGCTGAATTGTGCTAGAGCTCCTGTGCAAAAATACACCTGACAGCTAAATGAATAGCAAATTATTTCCCCGCGTCTGTGCTATTGTCTAGTGTTTCTGTGCAGCTGGTTCCTGCATGTACCGCAGGTTAAAAGAATCCTCAACCTTCTATTTAATACAACAAATTTTGTCAGATGTTGTTATTATTTTTGCTGGATGTCATAGCCGTGTGTAATGTATGCATAAGAAACCTCCCTGACTCCTTGAGCAGTCTAAATCAGGTGGAAACAGGCTGCAGGAGTGAGGAGAAATGGAGCATGGGGGCTTTTATTTAATCTGGTTCAAACAGGCCGTAATTAGAGGCATTAAAATGCTGGTGAATCCAGTAAAACATTATTCACTATCACTAAGGATTCTGGCTATTTCCTCTACAGAGTGGGGAGCAGGAGCTGGATGGCAGTGTGATGGCAGGATGCTCTTGACAGAGCAGGGGCTTGGAATGCTGCACAGTGTCCATGAAATGATCATAGAATCATAGAATAGTTTGGGTTGGAAAGGACCTTAAGATCATCCACTTCCAAGCCCCCTGCCATGGGCAGGGACACCTCGCACTAAACTATGGCACCCAAGGCTTCCTCCAACCTGGCCTTGAACACTGCCAGGGATGGAGCATTCACAACCTCCCTGGGCAACCCATTCCAGTGCCTCACCACCCTAACAGGAAAGAATTTCCTCCTTATATCCAATCTAAACTTCCCCTGTTTAAGTTTGAACCCATTACCCCTTGTCCTATCACTACAGTCCCTAATGAAGAGTCCATCCCCAGCATCCCTATAGGCCCCCTTCAGATACCATTGCCACTGTATTAACAGCCTGAGCACCCCACAGAGAATTCTAGAATCTCAGGGACCTCAAAAATCATCTGGTTTAACCTTTCAAGGCACAGCATCCTGTCCAGCACTGGGGAATCCACCACTTCCCTGGAGGGAGAAGGAGAGGAGATAGCACCCTAAGCTTTGCAAGGAAAGAGTTAAACTAGAGTTAAGGAGAGGTCCCCAGCTGTGCATCCTTAGCAGTAATGAGCCCAGCTGGAACAAATCACCAGGTCCTTCACCAATTGGAGAGGGCCAGCAGGTGCCCAGGATTGGCAGTGGGCCTGGCTTTAAAGGCTTGTTGATAGCTGTAGCTCTGGTTGGAGGGTCTTCCTGCTTTGGAGTTTCTTGCTGGGATGACCTTCGTGAAAGAAGAAATGCAGATTCACTTGAGGCTTATTGAGGAGCAGCTTGTAAGTGGCGTTTCTCCTTTGGCCAAGAAAGGTAAGAGAAATACCAGTATGGCAAAAATAGATATATATGCTGTGTATCAGGGTATGGGGGCAGGAGTTCATTGCATGAGATACAGAAGTGCAATAAATCATTGCTATGTGTAGCCTAGAGTTGATTAAATCAGATGCTGGGTCTCTTGTTGAACGCGGGAAGTTGTGAGGTGACTTTGTGAGTTAATTGCTGTGGCTGTTGCTGGAGGGCTGGGAAGAAATGGGATTGAGGTTGCTGGTAAGGAGCCTGTGCTGATGGCTTTACCTTTTGTGCTGCTCTGCTGTAGTAACAACAAATGCTTACGCTTTCTTATTGCTGGGGTTTGGTGCAGTTTGGGTTTCTTCTATTGAGTTCCTTAGCTTGAATGACCCTGTTCTCTGTGAAACAGAGATTTAGAGGGGAGGTTTAAGGGGAGAATTTCATTGGGTATATGTTTAAAATGGCAGGTGTTCAGAAGCAGCTGAACAGGGAGTAGGAAAGGACCTGGGAGTTTGATGCACAGTGGGTGGGTAAGCTGGTCATAAAGTTTGGCCTGATTTATTTAATTTTCTGGGAATAATAATAATTCTTTCCTGAAGTGACAGTCTGCATGTCAAAGTTTCAGCTCAATTTGAAATAGCTGAATGATGGATTCCAAGGGGAAAATAATGCTGGTTGTGTGGAGTACGTGCTGACAGTGTCTAACCGAGGTGTTGCTCGCCACCTTAACGTGCCACAGAAGAAATTATAGGCTGGCAAAGAGAGCTGTATTTCATGTGATTATGGAGTGCTTGTGTTACTATCCATTAGGAAATAAAAAGGAGAAAAGGCATTGGGGGGGGGGGAGTTGTTAGTTTTTTTAAGTCTTGCACTGAAAGTGTTTCAACCTGGAGTAACTGAGTTACTTGCAAAAACAGTAGTTTTAATGATGGTCTGGCCCCTAAGGGGGTAAAACATCTGCCCTGGCAGAATTCAGCAATCTAACCTTATAATAGTGCTGCTTGGAAAATCACGTTTTCCCTGTATCTATAGCATTTTTAAGAAATTAATTAATTCTGCTCTAGTTTTCCTTGTGATAGGACCTTTGGAAATCAGATGCACCGATTCACTCGCTATTCGCTTTCCTTTGTCTCCTGGTGTAATTTATCATATGGGAGCAAAATGTCCTGTGGAGATCACAGCTGACTATCTGAAGAAGCTCACTAAAAATTATGGGGACCATCAAAGTTTGTTTCGCTGATAAAATGTCTGAGAGCTGTTTCTGATAGTACACTGGGTATCTTTTATTAAAGATTTAATTTCAGGAGCTTTAGGTGTGATTGGATTTTGAAAGTCTCAGTGGGTAGCTTACGAGAAAAAGAACAGTTGATGAAAATAGGTTGCTAAGATAACTGTCTGCAGCCTCTAATCTGTATGCTTGCTTGTCCCAGGACAGCAATCCCTACAGCCCTCCAGAGGCCTCTGATGTTATGCTATGCAGCAATAACATGGTCCATATACTGTGCAAAGACTGCCTGTAACTTCTAGTCCCAGGTCTTGAAAACATTTATGTACATTATTTAACTCCACCTCTTAAAATGGGGCCCATTGGCAAGCCCCATAGGTAGATGACCATGTTAAAGCTGTGTTTGGATGTATCAGTGCTGTGAGCTGCAGGTCAGTACCAGTGTGTCTGTACCAGTCCAGTGTCATTGAGTGCTGCAGCGTGTCTGTGCAAACAACAAGCCCAGGCACGAGGCTGGGACCACATCTGGCAGGAGCTTTCTCACCTTCTTGACAGTATTATGAGGCCTGAATTCAAACCGGGGCTCTTAGTTGGCACCAGGTTTAGTTTATTTGTTTAGGATGCTCAGTTTTGTGGTGTTCTTTGCATTTGTTTGCTTTTTAAGAGCTAAATAAAATCTGCTGAGTCCATATTCCACTCTCTGTTGATGCAAGTGTAAATCAGGAAACTAGCCTGCCCTACCCCATAAAAGGCTCAATATTCTTCTCTACAACTGCCCATTAAGCTTCACAAATGGATAAATAAGGAACTGAGATGTGTCATTTATTCATAGCACTTGGAAGGCGGGGAGGAATGCCATAAATCCATGGGCACCTTGGGCTTCACATCTGTCACTAAGCAACCTGAAGCATCACTGCCTTTCCCCCAGGCCTTTGTTTTCAGACCACAGGAGACACACTTTGCTGCCCACCACCAAGCCAGTGCCCCTACCTGGACCCCAGGAGCTCAAGGGATGGTGGCTTTTTAGCTCTGCTCCTTCTCACCTCTCCTTTTCTGCCATCTCACCTGCCCAGGCCCTCTGCCTCTTAATTTCTCTCCATTTCAGTGTTCTGAACTCTGTGGACCTGGTTTCTTACAGTGCCAATACAGTTTGCAGGTGAGAAAAGCAACATAAATGTCACATAACCGTCTTGCCAAAAGAAGCAGGAAATAAGTTATTTAGCTCTCCTGCACACGTGTGTGGAAGGGAGGGCTTTTGCAAATGCACTAGGAATAATAATTAAACTCAACTCCTCATTATTAAAATGGAGTTACAGGAATGTTTCTGGCCTTCAGGATTATGTGGCCATCCTCACATAGCATTATGTAGAGCTGAAGGCTTGGGGAGAAGGGCATCATCTGCAGTAACAGCAGCATACCTCCCTGTCTCCATATAATAGAAAGGTGGCAATTCAAAAGGGCTGATAGATGAGATGGGAGCACCTTGTTTGCACTGCAGCAGAGCCCAGTAGTGAAGGAACAAAGGCAAAGGTGTATTTCTCAAAGAAAATGATGTAAATGAGGCAAGAATCCCTACAGTTAGTGAAGTTATTCCAGCAAGTGGCTATATAAATGTCTTTATATTGTTATTTCTGATATTAGTTTGTTGTTCCTCCATGAAAGCTGATTTATTTGAAATGTTATTACTTGAAACACCCTAATCTTTTTGTAATAATTCATATACTGGAGATTACAGTTTTGGAAGGCAGCCCAGCGCTGGCTGGAATCCTATTTATGGATTAAAGGATTTGAACAGCATTGCAAGCTAGATCTCCGAATAGCAGGATAATGTAAACCTGGTTCCATATAAAATGCTTTACCTCTGCAATAGTAACCCCATTAAAGGCAGATTGTTGGAGGACATTGGACAAGAGGACTTTCATTACAGTAAAGCAGGATATCTTGCACCCCTGAAGAGCAAGGATTTTCAGGGCTGAGTCTTCCCCCAGTTAAGATGCTCTCAGCTGCATTTTGTATCTCTCCTTTCTTGTGGAAGCCATCATGCCAACTAATTATAGGGGGGTTATGGTAGGTTTGAACAGACCTTCTGATGCAAGAACCATTGTTTCTGGTGAGAATTGAGCCACCACAAACGAGGTGCCCCAACAAAGAGCAACTCCTACCCCATAATGGGAGGGAGGCAGCTGGGAGCTGTGATTCTGTGTAAACAGCAGCCCAAGGGCCCATGCCAGGACTCATTAGTGTTACTGAAGGGACAGTCCCACCCCAGGAAACTGGGAGCTTTGGGGAGTGTTGTTACTAATTTCCTATTTAATGTAATAGCATCCGGGGAGCCCAGTCACAGGCTGGAGCACTGTTGAGACAAGATTTGAAGCAGAGCACTGAAGTGGCTATGAGGCTATTTATAGGCAGCTTTTACCATAATCAATGTGCATAGAGCCTGGCACCCTGGGCCAAGTGGAACAAAAGTTGGGAAAGGGAGGCCAAGCTGTGTTAGATGCAGTTGGGAGGGATGAGCTAGTGGAGAGATGCATGGAAAGGGGTGATGCAAGAAAAACCTGCTGGTGTTCAGAAGATGGAAATGTGCTTGTTGCAATAATTAGGCCAGAAGATGATGAAAACCTGGAGAAGCCTGAACCCCAGGGAAGGATGAATGGTAGAGATACGATGCAAAAAATCCTTCAAGATTTATTGGTGCTGTGGATGTAATGCTCTGGAGAGACTTCTGAGTTTAAGCTGATGCTCAGCTTTTCTTTATTGTATGTTCCCTATAGAAGTAGAGGAAGGCATTTGGGAAGAGTGCTTAGGAGAAGATTAAGATCTTGCTTCTTCCCTATGGGTGCAGTGCTAACACTGAGGAGGAGGTGGGGAGGAAAACTGCTGTGATCAGCTGCACAGCATTGTGGGGGGATTAGAGCAGAAATACATGATGAGGATCACCTGCTCCAGGAGATGAGGCTTTCCTTTAGTGCAAATGCTGCTCTGCAAACACAGGTTGT